TAAGTCTATCACGCGGAGAAATTTCAGCATAGCCCTCTCCATATCTCGCTGAGCGACCTTGAGATCCCTCAACCTTGACCTTACATTAGAGCCATATTTATCCTAAGTGTGTGTGTGGTGTTAAAAAAGGGAATGAAATTTTTTAATGGAACTATCTAAATAGTTCAGATTCAGATTGTGATTTTCCTTAGTTCGATTAGAAGGGTAAAAAAGATAATAATTTCATATTCTTATTTCACTTCAGAATGTGAAACTACTCGTATTTCATTAGTTTTAGTTGCTGGAAATATCTTGTATATTATCCATTGAAATTGAACCGTTTGGCGGTGTTTGTTCTTTGATATCTGCATAAAGCACAGTCTACGAACAAAAAATGTTTAAAATTATTAAAGTCTCGTCTTTTAGGACGATCAACATGGACGCTGACTTTTTTTAATAGAATAAGGGTAAAAAGCACCCACCTGACATATAAATTTACCCTCAAGTAAGAATCAAAATGTATATGCGTTGTCACCCCTGAGGACTGAGATCGAATGCCTCGTTTCTAGTAAAAAGGGTCTCCGGTTCTCTACATTCATCACACGAAACACAGCAGCATTGAGCTGCTATTTTATGCTGGTATTCTGTGAAAAAACTCTGACATAATACTAAAAACTAATAATTGAATTAAATAAAACAACGATAAACTAACGTAACGTTCTTGATTGTAGCAGTAGCAAGTATAAAGTTTATAATGAAAACGTCATTAACTGTAAACAACTCCACATTTTTATTCAAAAAGCTCGCGAGCGTTTCATTAAAAAGCATTCAACTCGTATACCGACGCATGCTCGAACTTGTGTGTAGGAAGCTTTTATAACTAAGTGCACTAATTACCATAATTAAGTTCTAAACTTACATTTGCATAAGTACTCTAGCGCGGAATGAGTTTCATATACGTATGGTGGAGACGGCGTAGAGGCGGATAGTTTGGATATTCGTAACATAGTTAATTTAGAATTTCCGGAAGATAGGGCATAAGCAATGTAAAAATAAGTAAACGAAAAGTTACAGACTACATCCGTTTCACTGCAGCGCACATGGGAAAAACTTATCTCAGTTATAAAAAAGTTGTGGAGCAATAAGTGCTAATAATCTTAATAAAATTAAATACTAACAAATGAGAATGCTAAAATTGTTAGTAGATAAAAAACCTTAAAAAAATTAATAAAGACTATAATAAAGTCTTTAAAATATGTGGTATAACTGCCTGTAGAATTAAAAGTCAAAACATCTATCTTAATCGAACAATATAACAATATTTAACATAAACAGGAAAGGGAGTTTACGTACCCAAAACGACTAGGTAGAACACCTAAGCTGTATGTTCCAAATGTCAAAAATTATTATTGAAAACGTGAAAGACGATGGATAACGCCCGTACTTATTAACCAACTACCTCATGATTTAATGAAGAACATAAAAGGTAAAAATAACCTAAAAATACTCTGAAAAAGCATTACTTATCTCTACGTGTATAGTTGTAAATGTATACAGGTTAAAAAATCAATATTATTAAACTTCTTTTCACATTTTTCGTTTGTGCTCTTTAGGTAGTTAATAAGTTTTGTTTATTTTATTCTTCATTTTTTGTGCTCTTTACATAAGTAGTACATAAAAATATGTCATCCACGACAGCTGCTGCCGACAAACTGTGTTCACAGTTTGGCAGATTGTGATTTTATATATTATGTACTCAGAACTGAAAAAAAAAAGAATATTACGCTCAGCAGATGTTGCGATCTCGCAGCCATCGTCCCATTTGGGACTAAAGTAAACATATTTGTTACTTAGATAATTACACAGTGTTATCATTATTGAAAAGTTCGGTTATAAAAACATTTCTTCCGGTTTGTAAAGTTTTTAATTGACTCACACAAAATAGACTTGTTCTTTAATTTTTTTAAACATTTACAACTGTTTTTATTATTATAATTTTAGAAGTATCCGTAGTTTGATTAATACATTACTAATGTAATCATTATAAAATAGAAGTAATATTTCAGAAAGAAAATTTAATCTCAACTCCTTTATAATGAATTAACTCCCCCGGTATGATATCTGTCAAACCACATGTTTAGTACTCACTTTCATATGTACTGTGCTGCTTCAGAACGTGTTAGCGGACTTTATATTTCACTCAGTGACAAGACTTCTTTTCCGGCTAGGAGTCCGCCTCTTAGCGGTTTCTGCCGACACACAGGAGGATCTGCAGCAGTTGGCTCTATGTGATCTCTTCGAAAACATATTCTTAAATTTGTCTAAGACCTCACTAAATCTACGTCGTTCTGTGACCCCTAATATGGATCCGATTTTTGTATTCGTTAAAATATTTTCAACATATTGTTTAAAAAACCATCCACCTGACATATAGATTTATCCTCAAGTAAGAATCAAAATGTATATGCGTTGTCACCCCTGAGGACTGAGATCGAATGCCTCGTTTCTAGTAAAAAAGGGTCTCCGGTTCTCTCTCAGTCACCACATCACAGCGGCATTGAGCTGCTATTTTATGCTGGTATTCTGTGAAAACTCTGACATAATACTAAAAACCAATATTTTTTTTAGTTTAAAACTAATAAGTTTTTCATAAAACACTTTTCGTAATATTTAAATAGTGTGGTCTTTGATTTATCTTCCAGCATTCGCATCCGGTCTAATTTTATTTTTCTCAACCTAGTCAAAGACTAATATTTTTTAATTTTTTTTATTAAGTTAATTATAATTAACGTTGTTGCTTCAAAAATAATCTCATCTATATTTAAAGGCAATATTAATATTGTCTGTTGTATCGTTGGTCTAGCGAAACAGCACCTTTTATTTGCATTGCTCTAACTGGAACTACTGATATTTCGAGGTTATTATTTATAATTTGTATATATAAAATTACTGAACTGCCTGTAACACCTACGGATATCTTACAGAATAATACTGTGAAATAGCAGATTAATGCCACTGTACTTCGTATGGCGAGTGTAGAAAAGGGTAATAAGTGTAGACTTTTCATTGGAAACGGGGCATTCCATCTTAGTCCTCATGGGTGACAACCCTTCTGCATTTTGTTTTTAATCAAGGATAGATGTAGATGTCTATGAGTCAAATTATCTACTTAAGATCTAGACACTTGGTTTTTATTTTTTATATTCTCGCTTTGACTAAGTTATCCTGTGTTAAATGGCCTTTAAAAAAACCAGCAAGAAACTTTCAAAAAACTCTATTATCATTATTAAGTGTTCGATCGGGTCGCCAGCAGTCAGCCTAGTGTTAATAACATTTGTCATCATAATATAATGTTTTGTTTCCTTATACATAATATAATGGGATCAGACCGGAAATTAGTTCGATTTCTACTGCACTAAATTTGGCTTTAGCGAAATCATTAGTGACACAAGTCACTAATGATCATTCTAATGATTTTGCTAATGCAGAATTTAGTACAGTAGAGGTCGAATTAAATTTATATTTCCAACAGATCACGTTTGTGTTGACCATCGTCCAGGAATAACTATAACACCAGGGGAACTGCAGGTTCATTGTCGGCCCTTTAAAAAGGAGTAAATTAATTTCTTGAAGGTTCCTTAGTGGTATCGGCCCAGGAAAATTGCCAGAATAATCGCAAAACTCTTTAAAATTATTATTTTATAGTTAGAACCTTTGTTACGTTGTGTTTGTATAACTTAGTTCCTTTAGGGAACAAAAATGAATTTACACAAAAGCAATCAAAACCCGTTGGTAATAATTACTTGGATTATTGAAACCCACAATGAAAGCTTCAAAACAGCTAAAAAACATTAATTTGTCCCTTTTCCATTTGTATCAGGTTCACATCAGACAATTAATTCATTAATCCGTTCCCGATGGAAAAAAGCCACGTTCATTATATACAAATACCTGATACAAAGGTTTCCCACAATTTTAAAAAGTGGAAATAAAACATGGAAGCATTCCTAGCTTCAAAAATGATCCAACGTAAATTGAGCTATGGTAGGCGTGGCGTACCAATAGCGCTGCGAATTTCGAATACCGTAACTATAATTATACTGATTAATTAAAATTTGCATTGCACGTCGTTACATAAACATCCCTGCTGGCGTGTCAAGAACATACGTGTTATATAATAAACGTTGTAAGTGACTTATAAGATGTATGGAAATTGAAACCATATACAATCCAAAAATAAGGTCAACTTTTGACTGTGCGCATCGTTAATACTTTTCCTTCGCAAAGTTATACACGATGACAATTAAGGACAAGTTTCTGCTACCACCTGTAATTAGGATGGTAACACAGTCTATAAAATACTCAATGTCGACTAAGTTATTGAGCGTTATGTTAGACACGATTCTGTCTCATAGTTGGCACGCTGAAGACATGAGAGAAAAGGCTGGGAGGTGCTTGAGCAAGACGTCGCGTAAGTCAGCGTCTTTTTGGTGCATTTTCTACCCGGCACTCCGTGTCCTGTGTAAGGAAACGTGTTTTCGTAAATTAACTAACGCAGCTGCTGCTGTTTGGGTGCAACGACTAAACAGCCCGAAGAGTAGTCGTTGTTTATAATAATAATAATAATAATAATAAATAGGCGTAGGGAAGTGACGACCCCATCGCCCGCTGACGAAACAGTTAAGTGACAAAACTGTTACGTCGGTGCAGTCAGTCAGCGCCTTGCCAAGAGGTGTGAGCGCCGTGCCTCGGCAGTACTCAGGGTGCAAAGGTCCGTTTGTGCTTACGGCCGTACAATGATGCAATGAAACGGTGCCGGGCCTGGGCGTCTCCCGTTAATTGGCGCCCAAAAATGGATGATGGATATGATTAGAAAGCGTATAGGGCCGCTGCTTGGGGGTCGCCGGGGCGCGTCTGGAGCTGGCGCTGGACGCGGCAGCATGCGGGCCGCCAGCCGAGCGCGAGGAGCTGCAAGATCACCTAGCAGCCCCCCGCATCCATCATCCCCACCAGACGGCTTGATGTCGGCAGGGTCCTCTCGGACTCGGCAAGCGGCATCCGCCGCTGGTGGAGTGCGCCGCATGCGTTGGACAAGAGATATGAACGCAAACGCATTGCGGGCGTACTATAGGGCGAAAGGGGAAGAAACTAAGGGGATAGCGTATCGGGCTCGGATGCATTGCTTTTTTGCTGAGCTGGAGCCGTCTATTCTCGTCACGGAACAAAACCTGGCAGACCGAGTTCGGTACATCATGCGCACGAAAATATTTGATGATGCCGAGCTCGAACGACTACGGCGTGAGGCCATTCCCTCATCGAATGAATTGGTTACGGCTGGGGATGCGGCTCCTCAGGCGACAGACCAGCTGCCACGCGTAGAAGATGCCATGGATCTTCCAGTTGTGGTTGATTCCGACGATGATGAAATGGTCTCCCACGAACTAGAGCAAATGAGGAGTATACTGGAAGAGGCGATTTTGGAAACGCGCACCATGCCTCTCGAAAATCGACCGCGACTTCCCCCGCATACCCCTAAGCAAGCGAAATCGGGCTGTCGTGAGGGCTCTTAACCCTATGCTGGTAACCTATTTGGAAGCAGCCGGGACCTTTGCGAGACGGACTCAGTTCTTTTTGGCGCCGCAGTGGCAGCTTGCCGTATTATTGGCGCCAAACTTCCCCTGGCTGGACGCGCTACTAAACAAAGTAGCGCCATCCCAGCCTGGAGAAAAAGAATTGAGGACCGTATCGCAAAGGCAAGGGCCCTTATCGGCAGACTGATAAGCTTTAGGTCGGGTAATAATAGACCGAGGGTTGTGCGCTCCGTTAGAATGGCGTTTGCTGGGACAAAAATCAGTTTGTCCCAGCCGGATATCACGCAGAAACTAACGGAGCGCATAGACGACCTGAAGCAAAAAAATGCTGCTTGGGGGAAGCGGATTCGCCGATTTACCGAGAGGTCAAGGCGGTTCAACCAGAATCGTCTCTTCCAGAGTGATCAGAAGAGGCTCTACAAATCATTGGAGCGACCAGAGGTATGTGGAGCGGGCCCAGGACCGGATCAGGCTAACACTGTCGCATTTTGGCGTGGCCTGTGGTCAGAGCCCGTAAACCACAGCGAGGGCTCTTGGACGGAAGTTGTGGCGAGTCAGTGTGCGAGTATTACGCCCATGGACCCCGTCATCATAACGCCGGATGACGTAGCTGAGGCGGTCCGTAGAGCCCCGAACTGGAAAAGTCCGGGACTCGACGGACTGCATCACTACTGGCTGAAGGGGTTCATGGTGTGTCACGCTGTGCTCGCCCGTCAGTTTCAAGAGGCTCTCAACCAGAAGTCGCTCCCTAGCCTCTTCACTACTGGGATCACTCATTTGGTTCCTAAAGACCAGGTTACCACAGACCCGAGCAAATACCGCCCCATTACGTGTCTACCCACCATATATAAGACACTGACATCCATTTTGAGCGCGAGAATCACTCGTCACCTGGAGCTAAATCAGGTGATGTCACGCGCTCAAAATGGATGTCGGGGCGGTGGTCGTGGAACCAAGGAACCACTCCTCATTGACGCGGTCATTGGCAAAGTGGTGAAACGCAACCGTCGGAACTTCTCCGCCGCCTGGATAGACTACAGAAAGGCATTCGACTCGGTGCCCCATACATGGCTAAAGAGAGTCCTCGAGCTGTACAAGATAGACTGTACAGTGAGAGACTTCCTCGAACAGTGTATGGGGCAGTGGAGTACGATCCTTTGTCATCTGGGTGAGCGGATGATGGCTGCGGAGAACCACATAAGGATAAGAAGGGGTATCTTCCAGGGCGATTGTCTGAGTCCAATCTGGTTCTGCCTCTCCCTGAACCCTCTCAGTACCTTACTGGAGGGATCCGGGAGAGGATTTCAGCTACGGAAAGGAGGGGCAAAAGTGACCCACCTTTTCTATATGGATGACCTCAAGTTATTCGCCTCCAGTCGCTCCCATCTTATGGAATTGCTAAACATCACTTGTGAATTTAGCAATTCCATTGGAATGGAGCTGGGGACGGATAAGTGTGCGGTCCTCCATGTTGAAAGGGGAAGGGTTGCTAACTCTGAGGGCATAGATTTATCTATGCCCGTCAACTTAAGGACCCTTTCCGAGGCTGAAACATACCGATACCTGGGTATGTCACAGAACATCGGTATCGATGAGGCTGGTATGAAACAGTCAGTTTGCGACGTGTTTTATGCACGCTTGACCAAAGTGCTTAACAGCCTTTTGTCCGGTGTGAATAAGACACACGCATATAACGGTTGGGTCATACCTGTCCTTATGTATACCTTTGGCATACTCAGGTGGAGTCAGACTGAACTTAACGCCCTGGATAGAAAAGTCCGCACTACCATGACGTCCCATAGGATGCATCATCCGAGATCGTCGGTAATGAGGCTGTACTTGCCGCGAAAGCATGGTGGGCGTGGCTTTCTGAGCGCGCTCACCATGCATAATCGTGAAGTGTGCAGCCTCCGTCATTACTTCCTGGCGAGATCGGATGATCCATTCTATAATGACGTCATTTCTAGTGATAAAGGGCTTACCCCTCTATCCTTAGCCAACGAGCAATGGCAGGACCCAGCAGTGCTTAGCATTTCCGACCGGGAGACCGTATGGAAGGAGAAAGAGCTCCACGGGAGGTACTACAGGGCTCTTCATGAGCCCATCGTAGATACAGTCGCCTCCCTCAACTGGCTGCGTTTCGGTGACCTCTTCGGGGGAAACCGAGGGTTTTGTCTGTGCAATACAGGATCAGGTTATTAAGACCAACAACTATCGGAGATACATCCTAAAGGATGGCACCGTCGACGTCTGTCGAGCTTGTCGCCATCCCGGTGAGTCACTTAGGCATGTCATCTCCGGTTGTTCGGCGCTTTCTAACTCTGAGTACTTGCACAGGCACAACCTAGTAGCCAAAATTCTACACCAGGAGCTCGCTCTGAAATAAGGTCTCGTGGATCGGAAATTGCCGTATTACAAGTACTTGCCGGAAGCCGTGCTCGAAAATGACCGCGCCAGGCTCTACTGGGACCGGGCCATCATCACAGACAGGACTATTCTTGCGAATAAGCCTGATATTGTGCTGATGGACCGGGCACAGTCAAGGATATTTTTGGTCGACATTACCATCCCGTATGACGAGAACCTCGTGAGCAAAAATAAAGTATCGACCTGGCTCGAGGTGACCGACATGTGGGGTGGTCTGCCGACCGAAATTATTCCTGTAGTCGTCTCTGCGAACGGGCTAATCCCAGTCAGCCTCTCTGATCATCTGAGGCGACTGGAACTCCGTGAGGGACCGCTCCAGGCTCAAATACAGAAGGCGGTGCTCCTTGATACCGCCCGCATCGTCCGCCGGTTTCTTTCTCTTTCCCCCTAACCCTTGGCCGTTTGGTCTCCCCTGCCGAGGGCCTCCATCTGGTTGGGATTTTATTAATTTAGGTATTTTTATATTTATTTTATTTTATTGATATTTATGTATATTTATCTTTTCATTTTCATTTATAATTATATATTTATAGATCCCAACCAGAGGAGAAAACTATATAGATACTCCACACAATAATAATAAAATATTTATTCATTGACCAAAATTAATAAAATATTTAAAAGTTAAGCTAATACAAAAATGATATTTTTAGAAGGACAATGAAAGGGTTCTGACTCAGCATGTGTTGCAGAGAATCTACAACGCTGTTATTCTGTCAGCGCCCATATACCTACTTAGTGAGCTAGAGTATAACAGTACGCGTACATCACTGATTATATTACAAATAGCTTTTAGTGTTAAATATTATTTATTTATTCATTCAGCCAGTACAAGAACTATATAATTAACCAGTACAAGTTATCATATACCTACTTAGTGAGCTAGAGTATAACAGTACGCGTACATCACTGATTATATATACAAATAGCTTTTAGTGTTAAATTATTTATTTATTCATTCAGCCAGTACAAGAACTATATAATCAACCAGTACAAGTTATCATATACCTACTTAGTGAGCTAGAGTATAACAGTACGCGTACATCACTGATTATATTACAAATAGCTTTTAGTGTTAAATTATTTATTTATTCATTCAGCCAGTACAAGGACTATATAATTAACCAGTACAAGTTATCATATACCTACTTAGTGAGCTAGAGTATAACAGTACGCGTACATCACTGATTATATTACAAATAGCTTTTAGTGTTAAATTATTTATTTATTCATTCAGCCAGTACAAGAACTATATAATCAACCAGTACAAGTTATCATATACCTACTTAGTGAGCTAGAGTATAACAGTACGCGTACATCACTGATTATATTACTAGCTTTTATTGTTAAATTATTTATTTATTCATTCAGCCAGTACAAGAACTATATAGTTAACCAGTACAAGTTATCATATACCTACTTAGTGAGCTAAAGTATAACAGTACGCGTACATCACTGATTATATTACTAGCTTTTAGTGTTAAATTATTTATTTATTCATTCAGCCAGTACAAGAACTATATAATTAACCAGTACAGGTTATCATATACCTACTTAGTGAGCTAAAGTATAACAGTACGCGTACATCACTGATTATATTACAAAGAGCTTTTAGTGTTAAATTATTTATTTATTCATTCAGCCAGTACAAGGACTATATAATTAACCAGTACAAGTTATCATATACCTACTTAGTGAGCTAGAGTATAACAGTACGCGTACATCACTGATTATATTACAAATAGCTTTTAGTGTTAAATTATTTATTTATTCATTCAGCCAGTACAAGAACTGTATAATTAACCAGTACAAGTTTTCATATACCTACTTAGTGAGCTAAAGTATAACAGTACGCGTACATCACTGATTATATTACAAATAGCTTTTAGTGTTAAATTATTTATTTATTCATTTAGCCAGTACAAGAACTATATAATTAACCAGTACAAGTTATCATATATACCTAATTAGTGAGCTAGAGTATAACAGTACGCGTACATCACTGATTATATTACAGCTTTTAGTGTTAAATTATTTATTTATTCATTCAGCCAGTACAAGAACTATATAATTAACCAGTACAAGTTATCATATACCTAATTAGTGAGCTAGAGTACAACAGTACGCGTACATCACTGATTATATTACAGCTTTTATTGTTAAATTATTTATTTATTCATTCAGCCAGTACAAGAACTATATAATTAACCAGTACAAGTTATCATATACCTACTTAGTGAGCTAGAGTATAACAGTACGCGTACATCACTGATTATATTACTAGCTTTTAGTGTTAAATTATTTATTTATTCATTCAGCCAGTACAAGGACTATATAATTAACCAGTACAAGTTATCATATACCTACTTAGTGAGCTAGAGTATAACAGTACGCGTACATCACTGATTATATTACAAATAGCTTTTAGTGTTAAATTGTTTATTTATTCATTCAGCCAGTACAAGAACTATATAATTAACCAGTACAAGTTATCATATACCTACTTAGTGAGCTAGAGTATAACAGTACGCGTACATCACTGATTATATTACAAATAGCTTTTAGTGTTAAATTATTTATTTATTCATTTAGCTAGTACAAGAACTATATAATTAACCAGTACAAGTTATCATATTATACCTAATTAGTGAGCTAAAGTATAACAGTACGCGTACATCACTGATTATATTACAGCTTTTATTGTTAAATTATTTATTTATTCATTCAGCCAGTACAAGAACTATATAATTAACCAGTACAAGTTATCATATACCTACTTAGTGAGCTAGAGTACAACAGTACGCGTACATCACTGATTATATTACAGCTTTTAGTGTTAAATTATTTATTTATTCATTCAGCCAGTACAAGAACTATATAATTAACCAGTACAAGTTATCATATACCTACTTAGTGAGCTAGAGTATAACAGTACGCGTACATCACTGATTATATTACATAGCTTTTAGTGTTAAATTATTTATTTATTCATTCAGCCAGTACAAGAACTATATAATTAACCAGTACAAGTTATCATATACCTACTTAGTGAGCTAGAGTATAACAGTACGCGTACATCACTGATTATATTACAAATAGCTTTTAGTGTAAAATTATTTATTTATTCATTTAGCCAGTACAAGAACTATATAATTAACCAGTACAAGTTATCATATACCTACTTAGTGAGCTAGAGTATAACAGTACGCGTACATCACTGATTATACATATTACAAATAGCTTTTAGTGTAAAATTATTTATTTATTCATTCAGCCAGTACAAGAACTATATAATTAACCAGTACAAGTTATCATATACCTACTTAGTGAGCTAGAGTATAACAGTACGCGTACATCACTGATTATATTACAAATAGCTTTTAGTGTTAAATTATTTATTTATTCATTCAGCCAGTACAAGAACTATATAATTAACTACTACAAGTTATCATATACCTAATTAGTAAGCTAGAGTATAACAGTACGCGTACATCACTGATTATATTACAAAGCTTTTAGTGTTAAATTATTTATTTATTTATTCAGCCAGTACAAGAACTATATAATCAACCAGTACAAGTTATCATATACCTACTTAGTGAGCTAAAGTATAACAGTACGCGTACATCACTGATTATATTACAAATAGCTTTTAGTGTTAAATTATTTATTTATTCATTCAGCCAGTACAAGAACTATATAATTAACCAGTACAAGTTATCATAATATTTCTATTAATAAATTGATAATTAATATACATGTACAAGAGATAAACATAATATAAACAAAATATGAACGAAATATAAATATAAACATGAAAAAAATAACAATAATATAAAAGTAAGAGCAACAGTAGTGTTTCATTTATTCAGACTAAATATAATAATTATGCTAGAACAACGTAATGGTTATTAAAAAGAATATTGGTAGTAAATGTAAGTTACATAATTGCATATAACTAAATATGGGATATTCAGCCCCCGCCGATTTTTTTTATATTTATGGCATTTTCTGCGTACTTAATAAATACTCTTTGTATTTTCTCTTAAAACTGTTCTTATTTATTATGACTCGTAATGGTGGTAGAAGATCATTCCAATAGTTTGTGGCTATAAATTTGTAACTACCAACCAACTGTTCTATGTTGAGGTATGCAAAGTACTTTTGCACACTTTCGGATACCGTACATATGTTGATTTTGTCTCCACTGAAGCTTTTTATATAGGTATTCTGGTTTCTTTGTTTTTATCACTCCAAATAGAAGGGAGGCATAAAATAATTTGAGACGTTCCTGCATTTTAAGCATATTAGAGGCATTAAGGTAAGGTGTAACATGTGTTCGTCTTGGGATGTAAAAACAGTAACGAGCGCAAGCATTTTGTACCCTTTGAATTAAATTTTTTGATTTTTAAATAGACAAGGTCCATACAAAGTTATAAAACAATAATTTAGTTTAGACAGAACTAAGGTTTCACATAATTTAACGCGTAAGTCTACAGTGATAAACTGCCTGATTAAATATAAAACTTTCAATCGAAAAAAACAACTTTTTACGACATTAATTACATGATTTTCAAACCTTAAATAACTGTCCATAAGAACCCCAAGATTTCGTACTTCAAAAACTCGTTTAATGTTTTCCCCATCAATACGTACGTTATGATTAGTAGAAATTATGTCCTTTATCTGCTTTTTATTACCTATAATAATAAACTTAGATTTTGTTGGATTAAGGAGCATGGAGTTATTTTGTGACCAAGAACTAATGCGTTGAAGATCCTCATTTAACTTATCTACCGCTATATTTACATTTTTACTATCTACACTAATATACACCAGTAGGTCATCAGCATAAATATGGTATTTGCAATTTTCAAGACATGTTGTTATATCAGAACTGTAAATGATAAAAAGCAAAGGGCCCAAAATAGATTCTTGAGGGACACCTTTATTGACAGGAAGAAATTGAGAAACATAGCTTTCGCCATCATTCCTGTTAATTATAACTTGTTGTAGACGATTATTGAGATAACTCTTAAACCACACCAATGCCCCGTTATCAAAACCGTAATATGATAGTTTATCTATTAACAAATCCGTATTTATCGAATCGAATGCTTTTGAAAAATCTAAGAGAGTAAGGATCGTGCCTTTGCCAGAATCCGAAAAAGACAGCACGTCAAGCAAAGCGTAGCGTCCCATGACTCTTCCTAAACCCTGATTGTAACTTAGGTAGTATTTTATTTAGTTCACAAAAGTATACTATTTGAAAGTGTACAACTTTTTCCAATATTTTTGATAAATATGATAAAATGCTAATAGGCCTTAGGTCGCTTAAATCAACTGGAGTTTTCCACTAGAAGGAAAAATTGATTCTGTGATAGACCTATTAATTATTGCTGTCATGACCTTTAATGTCTGTGGTAGTGTCAAAAGTATTATTTCCATACTAATTCGATCAACCCCGTGTGCGTTCGACTTGATAGCCATAATAACTTTTGCAACTACGCTTTCATGGACTGGCATTAACTTTAATGTGTTTGAGTTATATTTAGAACTTTTAAAGAATTTAGAATAAAACGAACCAGTATTACTTATGTCCGGAATATTAAGAAAGTGGTGGTTAATTTTATCAGGATCATTAAAATGGTCTGGTAAATTGTTAGAATTTTTAAATGAAGGTAATGCAACCGATTTCAAGTTTTTCCACAAAATGTTTGCTTTATGTAGGTTCTGATTAATATGACTAAAATATGCTCAAATATGCTTTCTTCTTAGTATTAATACAACTATTAACTAGTCTTTTAAGAGATTTGTAATGAGTTTTATCACTTTCAGCTTTTGTTTGTCGATACTTATTATGAGCGCTGTCACGCAGTTGCATCATGTACCGAACATTACTAGTGAACAATGGCAGTTGTCTTTTTTTAAACGTTAATAATTTCTCAGGAGCATGCTTATCAAATAATTCTAAAATTTTTTTGGAAAACTCAGATACCATTTGATCGACACAGCTAAACCCTATGATAGTATCCCAATATACTGAGACTGATAGAAAAGCAAGCATATTGATACTTTTAATAGGTCTTATAATTTGTTGTATTGGTGCTATCTTAGGTTTTTTAAAATTGAAATCAACCAAAACAAAAGCGTGCCCTCCTAATTCTGGTGTATGTTTAACAAATGTATTTTGTAACACGTGCATCCGTGATAACTAAATCAATTAACGTTGCACTGTCTCGTAAAGAAAAAAAAAAAAAAAAAATGACAAGAAACAAAACAAAACACAAAAAAAGGATTTCAACAGTTTAGCGCAATGTAGACAAAAGATTGATTTAAAATAAAAAAAGTAGTAGGGCACAATGAGATCCCTAATATTAAAAGCAAAATATTTTTTTGACATTTTTACTGTTATCAGAATATTAAATAATAAAATGTAATAAATATTTGTATTCAAACTGTTCTAGAACTAAGTTGACATTACGAGTATAACGAATATTAAAACTAATATACAACAGACCGAATAATAACAACAATAAGTTATAACCTGTACTGACCAACACCCAAATAAAAACAACACGTATAAACAATATTAAAAAGGATTTTAACAGTTTAGGAGAATGTAGATAAAAGATTGTATTTAAATAAAAAAGTAGGTCACAATAAGATCCCTAATATTAAAATAAAAATATTTTTTGAATATTTTTACTGTTATCAGAATATTTAATAATAAAATGTAATAATATTTGTAATCAAACTGTACTAAAACTATATTGACATTGTAAAAATAAATAATATTAAAACTAGCACACAAAAAACCGATTAGTAACAACAACAATAAGTTGTAACTTGTACTGACCGACATCAAAATAATAAGACATATAAACATTATTAAAAATTGTTTGCACAGTTTAGCAGAATATAGACAGAAGATTGAATAAAAATTTAAAAAGTAGGGCACAATTATTCGATCCCTAATATTAACAGAAAAATATTTTTTTAATATTTTGACTGTTAAAAGTTAAAAGTAAAGTTACAGCCTATATACGTCCCACTGATGGGCACAGGTCTCCCCTCATTTCTGAGAGGGTTTTAGTAGTAGTAGTAGTTTTTGACTGTTAACGGAATATTAATTAATAATAGAATGTAATAATATATGTATGAATCAAACTGTACACGAGTAGAACTAAATCGACATTGAAATCAAACTGTACTAAAATTAAGTTGACATTGAAAGTGTAATTGACATTAAAACTACACTCTACAAGCCGAATAATAGCAAAAACGTTAGAAGCCCAAAGGCCACCAAAATCAATTTATAATCATTTAACTATTTTGGAATATGGCTCACCAAAAATACGCGTAAAGTCGTCTTCCGAGTATATGACGCGTACCGGAGCGTTAAAAGAATCTCCTCTCTTGACATAAACTCGGCCATCTTTTGTCCACACGAATTTCCATTTTAATTTTCGGGCCATTTCACGTGCTTTAGCAAATAGCACACGATTTGGTTTCATTAGCCTCTCATTAACATAAAACTTGGTTGTTTCTTTATAAGGTAACCCTAGATCTACAGTGGTGAGCGTACAACGCACACGTGCTTTTTTCAGTTTGAGTGTATAGGGTTTGGAACTACACAGTGCGTTTTTTGCTGAGATTACGGAGATCCTCACTCGTGTTGTGGACAATGCTTTTTTTTATAGAATATGAATGTCACAGTCCACCTGATGGAAAGTGGATGCCATAGACATTGACATCAATTAAGAATCAAAGTGCAGATGCGTTATCACCCCTAAGTGCCAAGATGGAATGACTAATTTATAGTAAAAAGGGTCCCCGATTCTCTACACTTGTCATACGAAACAAAAGCAACATTAAACTGCTATTATACGCTGGTATTCTGTGACAGTGGCTATAGGTCGGCGATATTTCTGTTACAACCAAAATATAGCTGCAGCGTGGCTATACCCTATACACGTATAGCTATGTGTAGTTATTATAGCACGAAAAGCAATGTGGCGCTTTTGGTATATGCCGTGGTTTGATACGTGGTAGAGCCACGCCGCAGCTATATTATGGTTGTAGCACGAATGCGTCGGCTCGACCGAGGAAGGGTCACGCTCTCACAGAATACCAGCGTAAAATAGCAGCTTAATACTACTGTGTTTCGTATGGGAGTGTAGAGATCCGGAGACCTTTTTTTACTGGAAACGAGGTATTTCAACTTAGTCCACAGGGGTGACAACGCATTTGCGTTTTAATTCTTAATCGAGGATAAATTTAGATGGCTATTGGCCACATCATCCACTTACCATCAGGTGGACTGTGTGCTTGTTTGTCACCTTTATCCGCCGGTCGCAGGTCGCAGGCTAACTTGGTGGTAGCACGTGCTGGTATAATTGACCGTGCACGTATCTGTGCAACTAATGAGGAGTTAAGCAGGCGTAAGCACAAGGTCTGGGCTATGACGTTATACTTGAAACAAAAACATACATATTACTAATGAGAAAGAATGGGAATAAGGTCTTCAATACGACTTCGTTGAAATATCTTGGAGAAAACCAATTTCCTAAACGAGATAAAAGGAAATTATTTATCATCTCAAATTGGCAGTTATAAAATTTCCGGAAGAAAGAACAACGTTTCTGTTGGTGCTAAGAAATATTTTAATTAAGTATTATGATAAAATTTCATCACAGTGTTACCAGTAATATTAACCACATAGTGGCGGTGTAGGAATATCTACTACCCCATATCAAATCGTGGGTGCTATAAGATCTCTCTGTCGCGAGAACTTGAACCAGGAGATGGGCAGCAGCATCTTATCAGCTGATAAACTGTAGAGGTAATGGTACAAGTAATATGCTTTACTATCGTCCGTTGAGGAAGTTGTTAAGGTATTGGTATTTGAAATCTAATACGTATTGAGGGAACTTCAGGATAGAGAGGGACCGATTCTATTGTTTTCTTTCTTACTGTTCTTCGAGTGTATTTATGTATGTATATTTCTATGGCTCTCCATAGCCTTAACAGGTTGATGGATTTTAACTGATGGGGTGGTGTTAGATTCGTTTTAATTGACTCTTTTATGCAGTCATGTATTTATAATTATACTTTTAATCTTTGCTCAAGTTTCAAGCTTGTTAAATGGATGTTACGTGCGTGCGTGCTTGATTGCAAGTTTGTTTATGCGTGTGCGTGGTCGTGTTCATTAAAACCCAATCTGTAATTTTATTTAAACAAAAACAATCTAATTCACCCGACAGAAATATTCTAAAAAATCATAAACATTACTTACATAATATAATACTCTTACCATATTTTATCTTTTTTGAACTATTGTTACCCAGTGCTTTTTTACTATATTACCTGATGGTTAATGCAGTCGAAAATGGTATATATTATAGCTTCACCTTATCAAAATCCTATTCACTTTTTCCTTGATGATACCTACATTGCAAATGGATGAAAAAACAGATGTTAGCATATCGTTTTTTTGTTTAAAATTGCAGTTGCAGACTTGCACGCAAAGCGTGGCAACTATAGCAAACCCTTTTGAGGCAACTCACGAGGGAGACATTTCAGTTCAGCTGTGGACTTTTAGTAGGCTCTAAAGGATTTAGGAATGTATTGTATTAAAATTGAAGCAAAAGAATCTTTGAGAATTATTTTCATAATGCTGTAATTGCCGCTTTGGGGCTCGCTGAAATGCAACGTTCGGGCCTAATTATGATAATTAGAGTAGACCGATTATTGTACTACAGCCGTTTATATAGGGGTTTGAATAATTTTTAAAATTACTGATGCAATACCAAATCTACAAATGTTGGTGGATTTTGAACAGCAGTAATGATGTGGTACGTATGCTGCTTGCTGAAAACCGATGAGATTTTTTCACAGCTAACAAGGCATTTTATCTTAATGTTAAGGGGTGACAACGCGTTTGTATTTTGATTCTTGATCGAGGTTAGGCGTTGGCGTCTATAGTCCACGCCATTCCCTCACTACCAAGTGGACTGTGTGCTCGCTTCACACCGTTTTTCGATTTTCTTATGTAGGTACTATTTTATAAAAATATCTAGTTACCTAGTGATCCTGGGCAGTTAGGCTACAGAAGTGCAATAAAACGATTATGTATTTCATCTGAATATGCTAGATGTTTATATTCGTAATAGCTGTTAATAAGTACATTTGTCATAAAATAGGTAACGCAGAATTCATTATCTTAGCATCATCATTAGCATAATCTAGTACAGATGATGATTTAAAATATACTCGAAAGTTTTCAAATGTCTTCATGTTCCATTATAAGTTCTTTATTATACAATATTTATACGTCAGATTTAGACCAGTCCATTTCAAAGTGTAGAATTTCGCAATATGCTGATGATATCTTAGTTTATGTGAATGATAAATGTATAGAATCCTGTGCTATGTGATGTCAGAGTCCACGGCTGAACGTGGATTGTTTTATAAGAGAGATATTTGCCACAGTTGCCTCGCTAGACCGACATGCTAGTACCACAGTTTTGTTATGACTTATAGTTAACGGTTTCTTATATTTACGCGAATACTACATATTAACTAAAACTACTTTTGCGGATTTTATCACGTTTAATTTACTTAATCTTTGATTTCCGACATTTCGGGTGCTTGTGTTTTGCCAGGGGCTGAGTTCCCCCGTTTTAAGTTTTACCAATGGTTCTTCAAAAAACTCAGTCCTGGAAAGAACCAGCATGAAACCCAGCGGGACTTTAAAAATAATAGTTTACTATATTTTACAGTTAAATATGAAAACATTTAGAAACAGCAAGATATTCACCTAATTTCCAAGGGTTATTATCAATCTGTACTACTTAATAATCCATGATTCCGTGACAACGTTGTTACTCTGTTGATTTCCGTCACATTGTAATACCAATGCGTGTCAAGGAAGTGTGAAAAATCCAATCCATATTATTTTCCCTCAAGCAGTCACGCGGCGTACGGCGCAAAGTGCTAAACACTGTTCTAACATG